CCCTTTTTCCTCGCCCCCAACATATATACATGTATACATGTGCACACAGGCATGCACGCGGCTGGGGAGGGGGTTGAAATGTCTGTGCGGGTTTGCTGTCAATCGCACGGCCGGCATCCAATGAGGGCCGGGCAGGGGACGCCAAAAGACACTCCATCCACCCATGGCAATCCAGCACATTTGTTGTCTCTTTTAGGCTTTTGTACGTGAATACAGACTTTGCCGGGGCATCAAAGAGAGGCGATGGGTCACTCGCTTGTAGATCCCTCCTGTGACACTCGCTTTTTCAAGTCGCGACGCGCCTGCTGCTTTGGCTGCAGCACAACAAGTGCCTTCCGCAATAATAAGGCAAGCACCACAATGCACGGGCTGCTCCTCGCCGTCGTCAGCCATTTCGTTCCGCATGCTCTGCACGCCTCGGCGCGACAGCATGCCTGAGCTGACAATTGGAAAATTGTACGAGATACTTATCTTTGTTCGGTCCACAGTAGTTGAATAAGAAGACATGAAATAAAGTAATATAAACAGCTTGGGATGTGGTGAAATGAAGTGGGTAGGGGATAAAAGAGCCCTATTTACAATAGAGGCGAGAGCAGGCAGGTGGCTAAGGTTGGAAGAGGGACGGGGGTAGATGACAAGAGCAAAGAACCCGTTCTTGGCTTGCAATGAAGGGGTGCCAGGCTCACAATTTTGAATGCCGGAATGCGAAACGAGCCAAAAACGGTGCCGACGAGACAGCATGCACAAAAAGCCCAATTGGGAGGGTAGCCCAGCCACCCGTCGTGAAGAGTGCAAGTGTCGGCGTCTAGGCTTCGTTTGGGCGCTGTTCTCAGTCCTTGGCAGCAGCGCACACATGTATGAACGACGTGCCTGTGCATTAGTATGGCGCAAAGCGAGCGCCCGACGAGTGTACATGGCCGGGGTGGCGGCGGTAATAGTGCTGCTGCTGGTGCTGCTGCTGAGCTAGCGGAGCGCTGGGCAGCATGTTTACGTTGAAGTGGCTGGGAAGGGGCCCGGCAGCTTGCTGCACATTTGGTGTTGCCGAGAATGTGGTTGTGGGAATGGGTGCTTGGGTCGATGCAGCCCTTGACAAGATGCCAAGGTGCTCGTGGAGGGGCGGCAGGAGCCCTGGTGTGGGCGACGGAGAGTGCGAGCCAGAGGACATCCTCGTCAGCGGCGGAGTGCTAGGGCTGTTGTTGCCCGAGTCCATCGAATCAAAAGATGACATGGTATCGGACCTTCCTAGACGGCACGCAGACCTGGGATATCTGAGTGTCTCACGGAACACCGGAATAGGCATGGGACCCACGCCTCCGAGAGGCTGCTGCTGCTGCTGCTGCTGTTGTTGTTGTTGTTGTTGAAAGTATTCATCAGGCGAGCGAATGTCCTGGACATGGTGAGGGCGTGCAGAGGGATTCTCGGCCACACACAGATCCAGGATGGGACGCGCCTCGAACATCTTTGAAGCATAGGACATGGCCAGCGATGGCGTTGGTGGGCAGGTGGATGTGGGCGAGCCCTCTGACCGGGGAGAGATTGGAGGGATGTAGGGCGGCGACTGGCTCTGCTTGATGGAGTCCATGTGGCCACGGTGGTGGTTGGTGTAGGCGCCCTTTGAGTAGAACTGCTTGTGGCAGCCGCCAAACGAGCACTGGTACGTGCGCTTGCCGCTGTGGGTGTGGCGATGGCGGGCGAGCGATGACGAGTCGCTGAAACGCTTGCCGCAGTTGGGCTCCTTGCAGCAGTGGGGCTTTTCGCCCGAGTGAGTGCGCAGATGGACGGTCAGCGCTGACTTTTGCACAAAGCTCTTGCCACAGCCGGGGTAGCTGCAGGCGAAAGGCTTTTCCTTTGTGTGGATGCGATAGTGCCGCTTGAGGTCAGACTTGCGCGTAAAGCTCTTGTGGCAGTCGGCCCATGTGCAGTGGTGGATGCGCTGCTTGTCGCGCATGAGCGAGGAGTCGGTAATTTCCAGGATGTCCATGCTGCTGCCGTTGCTGCTGCAGAGAGTGATATATAAATGGCCGGGTGTGCGGGTGGCGTGGCGATGCGGTGGTGGGGATGGCGGATATGTGGATGCGTGGGTGGTAGAATTGGTAGCAGCGTAGGGTTGGCTGGGAAAGGCGGGCACTGAGCACGCGCAAGTCCAAGAGAATAGGGACAGTAAATACAATGGGTGCCTGCTGTTGTTCGTTATAGCCTAATTGGCACAAGGCAGCGAGAGGGGGAGAGGTTGAAACAGGGCCTGTGGTCTGGGAGAGCAAAGTTCGACAGTGGAAGATAAGCGTGTTTTGGTTACCAAATGCTACGCATAGCCCGCTTGCTTGGGTGCAGAGAGCGAAAGCAGGGATTGAGGGGACGGTGGGATGGGGTGGAATAGGATAGAGTTTGGTGGTGCGGTGCGGTGTGGGTGCTGGCTGGGACGATTATATAGAAAAAGAAAAGCCTGTCTTTCAAGAATTGGTGGAAACAGGAGGAGAAAGGCCGGCAGCAGACCCATTCACCACAAACACCACATACTGGCACCCACCAGCGGCAGCAGCCAGCGCACCTTGGCCAGGGCTTTTTGGATTGTCGAAACCTGATGTGCGATTTTGTCGTGATGCAAGACAAGACTAAAAAAGGCTTTGCAGTGGGCAGAGAGGGTTTGGCTGCAGCATTGAGCACGGAAAACGCCAAAGGCCCCTCTTTTGGCGATGTGAGGCGAAAATAGGGTGTGAGTGAATGTCACTGAGTGTGAGGGCGGGGATGGGCATCGCTGTGGGTGCTGGATGCGGGTGCCAACCCGCCCCCTCGGCCGCCATGATTTTCGCAGGTGCATTGTTGGATTCCTAGTGACGCGCTCGCTCAATAGCCTTAGACAGGCCACAGGCACGCGTGGACAGAGGACAGGCACGCACACGCCAGCACCTCCTCGATGCCAAGCTACACGCACACATGCTGCCACTGCGTTCCCTGCACACACGCAAAGAGAAGTGCCTCCATGTGCCCACCAGCGTGCCAGGGCCTTTTCTTTTCGCTGCCTTCGCATGGAAAAAAAAAGTCTAAATGTGCCTGTTTAGCACAGCTCCGCCAGCCGACACCACACAATGGACCCGCTGCCTCGATGCCGCCTCTCCCTACATATCCCCTCAGCAGCCCCCTCCTTGTACAGAGCTCCAGATGCGTTGGAGTGTATGTGGAAGTCGGAGGTGGTAACGGATCGCACTCTTTTTGGCCATCAAAGCCACTCAATGTGTTTCGGGTAAAGCGCTGAGACTAGCATTGTCTTGCATATTTATTGAGCTTGCATCTCCTATTGCTATATGCCTGTTTTGGCTTAATTGCTTTCTTTCATTCCTCCCTCTCCCCCCAATAGCTGCTCTCCTCTCTTGTCTTTGTGCTCGCACTGGTTGCCGGTGTCATGGCATTGCTTAGCTTAGCGCTGTATTGCTTCAAACCTACCTCGCTTTGCTCTGCCTTGCCTTGCTTTGCCTTGCATCAATTTGCCGTGTGTTGAGCTGGGCTTGTTCTCTCGGCACAGTGCTGGATAATTACTCTTCTCGACCCTCCTTGTAACTTGCGCCTCCCGCCCATTCACCACATGGCAGAATGAATGCCTGCTGCTACACCTTTGTGACCACCACCAACCTCGTGCTGAATCGAAAAAGAGGAAACAAGCCCCTGTGGACACCAGTGACCAGCAACCACGCATCCTGTGCTCGCCCGCCTGCCTCTCCCCCAAAACTTTAAAGTCAATGTGGCTTCAACCGCAATCGCGACAACCACCACTCTGCCTCCTGCCTGATGGCCAATGGTCTTTTCCTCTCGCCCATTGATCCATTCTCATGCAAAAACCTCTCTCTAGCCTATACCACTTCCACGCGTGCTTCTATTCTACTATCCTGCCTGCCCCGCTTGTTCCCTCCTAGCAATTTGCAACTTGCAACTTGCAACCTGCAACCTGCAATTTGCTTAATTTAGTCATATACGCTTTCCCACTTTTTAGTAATGGCGTTGTCGGATATTGACGCCGTTCCTGCGAACCCCCACAGCGACGACAAGGCCCCCGCCAACACCGAGCCGGCGCATACGACCTCTTCGCGCGTGCAATGCGCTTGGAGCGATTGCGCTGCTGAATTCAGCTCCATGCACCTGCTTGCCGCGCATCTCTCCAACGACCACATAGGCTCCGGAGCAAAGGACGAATATGCTTGCGACTGGCGTGCGTGCCCCCAGCGCAACACAAACGTACAGACTCGCTACGACCTTATTACTCACCTGAAACAGCACACCGGAAACCGCTCGTACCTGTGCCCTGTTGACGGCTGTGGGAAGGTGTACAAGCGCGCCGACTTTCTTACCAAACACATAAACACCCATTCTGCCGATAATGCTAGCCGCCCCGCACCTGCCGCCGGCGCCAAGGTAAAAAGGCGTGCTCGTCGCAAAGTAGTCTCGGACTATGCTGTTATGGACATTGACACGGACATTGACACATCTTCTTCCGACGACGCTCCTCTCGCGCTTGTTTCTGCATCGAAAAAGCGCAAGGCCTCTCACGGTACCTCCAAGGCCAACATCTGCTCTTCAGACAACGACGACAACGCGGTGGACACAAATATGCCATACAGATACTACGACGACGCTGAGGATGCCAGAAACAACAATAGCAGCAGCCATCGCCGCTACGATGGCAGCTATGGAGGCGACCTCGACAACGACGAGGACGGGAATGCAAGTGCACGCAGCCCAGCCCAGCTGGCTGCCTTGCTAGAGTCTCAGCTCGCATACATCCGCGACCAAGTTGCTTTGCGCAAAGAAAAGCTTTTGCACATCAAAACAAAGACACGCCGTCTGCGTTTGGAAAACGACATCCTCATTGACGCCCTTGCACAGACGTAGCACAACCCAGTATAAATAAACCACCATCGCGTTTTCTGTATAATCCGCCGCCACGGTCAGGCTGCATGTAGCCCCGGCTCCCGAAAATGGGAGAGCAAAAGAAGGCGCAGCAAAAGCAGTGCTCTATGCCAGGATCGAACTGGCGACCTTCGCGTGACTCAAACATAGTGTGTGTTGCACTATAAGCACGACACTCTAACCAACTGAGTTAATAGAGCTGCGATCCCGAGCTAATCGGGTATTTTGGTTCCTGCGGAAACAGCAGCAGTACAAAATCCAACCTGATTGGCGCTTTTGGGCAGCACCGCCGCACCTACTGCCTTGCCGCATGCGCATCTGTCTACACAGCCAGGCGTTCAGCATTGCTGATTGTGCATTCCCGTGTTACTAGTATCATGCGCACATAGCAACGTAAAAAATATATATAGACATACTGCAAAATGTGGCAGACTAACCGTGTAGCCCTGGATACCTGCTATGGTCGCGAACGCTGAGCTCAAATAGCCCCACGCTGTTAGCCTCCTTCGGGTTTTCGGGGTCGTCGCCGCCATACTCAATATCTTTCCCGCTTTCCAAGTAAAACACCTCCTGTGTGTGATGGCGGTATCCCAGCGAGAGCATTGGGACGTGGGGGACAATGTCTTCCTGGTACACCACACGGTAAATGTGGATATCCTGCGTTGAGAGCCAGTCAGAAAATGCCGGGTTGCCAACGCGCGGCTGGCCATACGTGAAAACCGAAATCTTGTTTGTCCATTCGGGAGTTGTAAGGATCATGTCAGCAGCAGCAACAGAGGCCTCGGCTCCACCCAAGGAGTGGCCAGTGAAGACTATGGAGTAGTCGGGGTACTTTTCAACAAGACCAGCGATGGCTTCCTTGACCAGGCTAGATGCAGACATGTAGGCAAGGTAAAACCCAGCGTGCACAAGAGAATCTTTTACGCTGGTCGGCCAGTGATGGAGGCCAAACTCAGCGTCGGTTACCCAGTCGTCAAGTGTCCTTGTTCCCCTAAAGCTGACAATGATTTCTTGAGTGTCGTCCTTGTGTGCAACAAAGCCGTGGCTTCGGTTGTCTCCATCTGTGTCCCAGTGCACGTCAACAACGGTGCCAGCAGTGTCTGGAGCGTCACTGTTTGGAGATCCCTTCCACTCAGTGCCTGTAATCAAGTAAGCCGCGCCAGCATACCGCGCATACTTGATGATATTCTCCATGCTCGTGTGCTCCAGTCGCCGGATGGTGGAAAGGTTTTCTGGCTGAGCTGCGGCGGCATTGATGGCATCCACATCATCCTTGAGCAGCTCTCTTATCTTGGAGTCAAGCTCTGATTCCCGATCGGGAGTGAGCGTCAGCGAGCTGGTAGATGAAGAGACGATGACGCTGCGGAGCTTATCAGCAGGCGTAGCAGGCACAGCAGCATTGCTTTCTGCTACAGTAGGCATCGTGAAGGAAATGTAGTTGTTGGTAGAGAATGGAGGAGCGCCGAAGCGAAGGTAGAGACGAAGAATTGGAGGACTGCAAAGAAACCATTCCGTCCTTTATGTGTTTCCTCTCACCACCGTCCATGGCTGCAACAAAAACATCAATGCATGTCTTAAACGGACGCTTTGACATTCAGACAAATCCACGCGTTCAGAACGCCAGGATGCATTGAAAATCAGGCTAAAAACAGAATAGATACCCGCCAGAGAGTGGTTGATTTCTTTTGCACACACTTGCCATCCCCCACAGGTTGCCAGAACGGTTAGTTCTCAGCAACTAAAGGAAAATAAAACAAGGCGCTGGTCACAGGTTGAATGAATGACATACCGAAAGTATTCTGGTCGTGGCAGCAAGGCGGGGCACAGAGGAATGATTTTGCCAATAATAGAGGAGCCGGCCAGCTTTGCATTTGGCCAGGGCATGGTTCCATAGTCTACACACATCGGCAGAGAAAATAGAGAACGCTACATTGGAAATTCTCTCCCTGCCCCAAAATCAAGCGCTGCATACATACTCAAGCACTCGCTCGCTAGCTTTTCGTTATTGCTTTCACAATGGACGACGGCGCTACTACCATGCTACCAGCACTGGGCTGTCTAGAGCTGCGCGCTCACCCACAGCGTGGTCGCGGGGTGTTCACGCGCTCGCCAATAGCAAAGGGAACGCTGATTCACCTTTCGCCCATATTGCTGTTCGACCACAAGGAGTATGCGGAGCACGGCAAATACACCAAGCTTGACCACTACACATACTGCTGGAAAGGCGGCTATGCACTTGCACTGGGGCTGGGGAGCATGTTCAATCATGAGCCCTTTGGGCACGAGAACGTAGGGTTTACGCGGGACATGGACAATGCACTCATCAGATATACAGCGCTAAGGGACATCGAACCAGGCGAGGAGCTGTGCATCTGCTATGGCCCCAATGTGTGGTTCGACGTGGTCTTGGGAGAACAAGAGGCAGGCGACAGCAAGGCTAATGAGCAGCGGCAGCAGCAACAGCAGCAGAAGCCTGTGGAGGAAACTGCCGAGGATTTGCTTTCCTGCTTTGAGTTATGATTTGTGGCATGAGGCACAAAGGCCGACGTCACACTGAGTGACTGTTGGCCAGCAAATTAATATGCTTTCTATCAAGTGACGCTTTGCATGTCAGAAACCTCCACATGCTGAAAAAAGGTTGCGCATGTATCGCGCACACTCTCTTGACTCTCGCCCCCGCTGCTCTTCTGCTTCAGCGCTTTTATTTGCTTTATTTCTAGCCTTTCTGTTCCTTCAGGTCGCCATCTCTCCATTTCTATCTCCACTCTACGCAGAGGCGACGCCCCTCTAATACCTCAAGGGTGTCCAACTGTGTGCTGGATTAGCCTTTAGCCTCCATTCTTTGCTTATTGCCACCCCCGCTCTTTCATACTGCCTCTTTATGGCTGGCTCCCCCAATCTGCAGGCGAGCAGCATGGGTGCAAAGGGACAGAAAAAAAACCCAGCGCAAACTCTATTGGCAGGGAGGCCAAACACATCGTCGCCAGAGTTGCCAACCAGCACCTTGCCAGACTTGCTCGAATTTGACGCACGGCCTCGGAGCTGGTCAGCTCAAGACAATAGCCCGCAACACAGAGCATCGTGTAGCCTTGTGCACAGAGGGATAACGCACAGCAGCGGCTGCTACTCCTCGCAACCGTCTTCACCAGCAGCGGGGGCACCTGGTGTGCCAGGAGCGTCGCCTCAAGGCATCAAGGCACGAGGCACAGTTGGTTCGCTGAGGGCTGCGTCGATTCGATCGTCAAGTGCGCGCACCAGCAGCATACTGGTGGACAGCGGCCTAGATAGACTGGCTGCGCAGAGTGCGCCAAGCGTTGCAGCCACGTTTGCTGCTGATGCGTACCCCGTGGAGGCACGCGGCCAGATGGTTGGGCGCAACCACATCACCCTGTCACGAGCCGAGTTGCCAGCACCAGCACAGGCGTCTCCGTCAAAGAGCCCCAGGCACTTGCACCGCAACCAAGCTTTGCACACAATGAGGCTTTTAGCTGCTGGTCCTGCTATCGGCGACTCGCGCGGGGATTTGGCTTCTTTGCCAGACGACACTGCCTCAAGCTCTACGACCACGACAGCAATAAATGCAGTTTCTGGTGGGCGCACTAGCAGCCGGGCGAGCAGCCACAGCTTTGGCCAGCCAGGCGACAGGGGCAAAGATCAGAGCGCTAGCCAGCCCACAGATATAGCAATGGAGACTACAGCGCCTCCTTTATTACCTGGTAAGGCGCAGAGCATACGACACAGCCCAAAGTTAGAGCCAGTGGCCAAGCCAGCGACGCCTGAAGAGACACTTGAATCCGTGGATGTGTGCGTGATGACAGCAGCAAACGAGTCAGATGCAGCTACTGCGCCATCTTCGCCAACAGCGGCACAGGATTCGGGCCATTCACTGTGGTCAGCGCTCTCACGACTGACGCTACGCACTCACAGTGCTCCAGCTCACAGCTCGCCAGGGGGTGGCCCCGAAATGCGAAAATCTGCCATCGAGCGCCTGAAATACATCGAGTCCAAACAGCATGCACATAAAAGCAACGCTGATGGGAATGGAGCGACTGTAAATGGTGCTGCAAGGATGACCAGTCAAAATGTGTCTGCAGCAGATGAAAGGGTGCAGGATGCAGTGAGCACTGCTGAGGGAACAGCAGTGCTTACCCACACACCGACATCGAATACCGAGCCTAGCGGCAGCAGCAGCAGCAGCAATAACAACAGCAATGGTAGCTATTGGGCATTTGGGTGGTGGTCAGGGCGTGAGAGTCAGATAGTCGAACGACTAGTGGGAGCCCAGCCAGGGGACGCTCAGTCAGAGGATGTTCAGTCAGCTGAGGAGACTACAGAGGAAATGTCGGTGGAGCCAGCAGAGGAGGAAGCAGCAGTGCCAGTGGCTACTGTAGGCGACAGTAGTGGTGAATCGAAATCCCAAACAAATGGTGAGCTGCCCGGCGAGCGGAGCTTAGATGCAGCCCAGCACAATGCCAGCCATGAAACAGAAGCCCTAGCTGCGCCGAATCAGCCAGAGACTCAGCCGAGCCAAGATGTTGCTTCTGGCTCAGGCTGGCTCTGGGGATGGCTTGGAACTTCGACAAAGCTTGAAGAGCCAAGCAGACTCCGAGACAGCGATGTACAGAGTGTCGTTGTGCCAGCTTCAGGCAGACCCAGCGAACCACACACAGCACACGCACTTTCATCTGGGATGGGAAAGCCTGGTGCCTCAGCAGATCCAGCGGCCACAGCGAGTAGCCAAACGATAAAGCAACTCTATGAGCATGCTGCTGATAGCGGTCCCACAGACAGCACGGCATCCCAGGGCAGCAGCTCCACAGAGAGCTTACTCAGCTCGCCAGGACACAACGCGCAGCTGCAGCAAAACATGCTGCTGCCACGTTTTGACTTTGACGCTTGTGCTGCTCCTGTTAGCCTGGGAGGCGCGCGTGCCAATACGCCGCCATGTACATCTAAGAGAAAGCTCTCAGCCACCAGCACTGGCACTGCAGCTGGAGATGAAATGCAGGGCAGTGGCAGCGATGACAGCATTTCTCAAGCAGATGAGCCACGCCAGCCTCTGCAGAAGCGTCTGCGTCTGCTCGGTAGATCGGTGCTCGACTCGGTTATTGAGATAGCGCCAGAGTGGGCCCGAGCAATAGTTGAGGGGCAGAAACTTGCTGACAGATTGGGGCAGATAGACGGTGGCTCCTCTCATAAC